TCTTTGGGATGGTTTTTGTTGCTGCCTCCTGTACAATGTTACGAGCCTCTATCCAAAGTTCTTCAGGCACTCTGTCCACCAATTCGAGTTCCTTAAATCTGTTCTTCACTTCCACTGTGTATTCATAAGGGATTTGGTTTAGATTATACCTGACTAGCCCAGTGGTTTTTCCTACTCTCTTCAGTTTAAGCTTGAATTTTGTTATAAGAAGCTAATGATCAGTGCCACAATCAGCTCCAGGTCTTGTTTTTGCTGACTGTATAGAACTTCTCTCCATCTTTGGCTGCAGAGAATATAATCAATCTGATTTTGGTATTGCCTATCTGGTGATGTCCATGTGTAGAGTCGCCTCTTGTGTTGTTGGAAAAGAGTGTTTGTGATGACCAGCTTGTTCTCTTGACAAAACTCTATTAGCCTTTGCTCTGGTTCATCTTGAACTCCAAGGCCAAACTTTCCTGTTGTTCCTTTTATCTCTTGACTCCCTCCTTTAGCATTCCAATCCCCTAGAATGAGAAGAACATCTTTCTTTGGTGTCAGTTCTAGAAGGTGTTGTAAGTCTTCTTAGAAATGGTCAATTTCAGTCTCCTCAGTGGGTCCACAGTGTAGCTGGCCATAATGTTTCAAATAGCAAGAAATGAATCAGTAATACAGTGGTGCCTCGCATTACGATTGGCCCGCATCACGGCGAATCCGCTTCATGACGATGTTTTTGCAATCGCAAAACAATGTTTTAAATAGGGTTTTTTCGCTTTGCGATGATCGGTTCCCTGCTTTGGGAACTGATTCTTCGCAAAACGATGTTTTTTTAACAGCTGAGCGGCAGTTTCAAAATGGCCACCGGGTAATTAAAATGGCTCCCGGCTGTGTTTAGGGACAGATTCCTTCCAAGACAGCCACCGAAAATGGCCACCCTATGGAGGATTTTCGCTGGACGGTGAGTTTCCAGCCCATTGGAACGCATTGAAGGGGTTTCAATGCGTTTCAATGGGCTTTTTAATTTCACATTAAGACGTTTTCGTTCTACAGCGATTTCGCTGGAACGAATTAACATTGTAATGCAGGAAATATTGGTCTGGTAGTTAATGGGAACATTTGCTGCAGTATATATACCATGTAAGGTATAGAAAGAATCTGTTTCTGTGACCACTTAAATCAAACAGACAGGAATTCTCTTGTGCAACTAATTCCACAGTGTGAGTTAATTCACATTTCCCTTGCGGTGTAGTCATCACTCTGATCTGTATGATCAGGCCTAGAGAGAGAGAAGAACTTTAAAGATCAACAGTAAGTATTAACATGATTAAAGAAAACAACAGGAACAATGTGTATTGATATAGAGGAAGACAGACTATACCTTTGAATCTTGTTCTGAAATATTGGTCTGGTAGTTGTGAAGGAAAATAACAGTAGATGACAGCATAATTGTAAAATTTGGTAATTAAAGAAACCTTGACTGATAGATTGATGTTTCTGTTAACACAGAAAAGTTCACTTTATCATGGATATTTTCAGAGCAAGAGACCACACAGATCTCAGGTTTCTGCAATTCTCACCCACCTCTATAATTTGCACTGCCCTCTTTCCCATCTCTTCCCTTCCCTTCCTTGCATCACACTGATTTTTTGTTAAAAGCTACATAATACTGAATTCCTTTAATATTTTCTTAAATGCAACACTTAACAGAAATTGCCACTAAATGGGGAAGCTGTCCAATGTTATCTGACACAGCACTGTATCTGATAAAATCACTGTTTAAAAAACTTGTTCAGGGCAGACAAAGAGGGATTTTTTCCACTACACTCTGCCAAAGGAGGATGAGCAACCAGTGATCCCAGTTTTCAAATGGTCAGGAACAACAATTAATCTAGTCAGGTTGGGGGGGAAAGGGGGTACACAATTTGAGCTGTTGTGGGCTTGCAGTAGAATGCTTCTTAAGTGCCTCCACTCAAGATTATCTATTCAGCAATAACCAATTTTTCCTCCCAGCCTTTGAATGCAAAGAGAGTCCCATCTCTCTGCTTATTTCTTTCTCCTCTTTCCTCAGTTAGTGGCAGTTGTTGTTTGCTGTTGATCTCTTCAGTTGTTAATATATGTCCAGTAAAGAAAGAAGCATGCAGAAGTGTATAATGTTAAGCAACTATAAGTAAATAAATACTTTTATTCTTTCTGTTACAAATCTCTCAGAGTAAGTTATTGGGATTTTAAGTGTCAGTTCATGAGAAAGAGTGGATTCTGGGGAACTGGTAACTATTCTCCTCAGTGACTTTCCATACTTCTACTGCATAGCAAAAAAGGAACTATACCAGAAATTCCAAACTCTGCAATAATTACTACCTACTGTATTATTGTGCATTGTAATCTTTGTTTACGAATGTTAACCAAAGTCAATTTTGCAAAACTGGCAGGCAATAAATATGTGTAAAGGTGAAGCTTCAAAGCCACAATATCATCTTCAGCCCTATACTTTATAGCACTTAAGTGATGCAGCACAATAATGGAAAAGTATTTTTAAAACATACAAAATTAAAACAATAATGCCTTTTCCCCCCACTTCAAATTAGGATAGAAGATACTATCCACAGTGACAACCAGACTTCACCCACCCCTATATATCACTACTAATGTATAGGAAGAACATCTCCCCAACCCCACACTGGAGCGATAGAGGTGATCTCACAATAAGAAAGCTGTTTATTTGGACTAAGTGTAATTGTTCAAAATAAACAGCAGGCTTCAACCCTAGCCCAATCTTGGATGGATTGTTCTTCCCCAGGGATGGGTTGTAATGCTCTAATATGAATATTGTGTAGTTGATGCTGTTTAAAGTATTCCCAGCCATTCTGGGGGGAGGGGGATTATAGAGCAGGATAAACTTCCATGCAGCCAACCTCTAAATCTTTTTCTTCATTCTAGGAAAACCAATATGATAGGTAATATGATGACTTTTCCCTGCTTGGACTAGTCAGTTAAATGACATCACAGGATTAACAGAGCCACTGATCTCAGTCTACCTTGCTGCAACGATAATTGAGAATGTGTGCAATTTCCCATGCTAAGAGGTTTGTGATGGAGCCGCATTCACTGGACAGGTTAACAATGGCTGCTTTGCTGCAACTCATCCCTTTCTGGGAGCTTTCATGAGATGCCTTCCTCAGCAAGGGTAGGAATGCCTAGAGAAGGAGAAGAAAAAAAATCAAGGACAGATGGACATTATGTGAGATAGGCTGGGCACTCTTCACCAATGCTGTATTCCCAGATGGGGCTGAAATGAGAGCCTAGCCGATACAGTTCAGAACAGGAATAGGCAACATGTAACCTCCAGATGTTGCTGGACTGCAACTCCCATCAGCATTAGCTAGCATAGCCTGTGGTAGGGTGATGGGAGCTCCATCCAGAACATCTGGAGGGCTCATGATTTATTCCCCTCTGCTCTAGAAGCATGCCAGAGCTTGTTGTAGCTTGGGCAATTCTGCTTCACCAAATGCAGAATATAATCACTTCTGCAACTAGGTGATCTACAGACTCTACCTAGTGAACATTTTATTTTATTTTATTTGCCCTGCTGTTCATTTAGTACATTTGAGTCAGGTGGGCAAATCAACTCCACCTAAGAAATCTTCACCACAAAGCAATGGCATGAATCCATGTGCTCTCCAGGCTTTGAGGGTGTTCCACATTGTTGAGAAGTATCAATGAAGAAGAACTCATAGGACCACCTTACCTGGCTTACCATCATGGTCCCAACCACATTGGTTTTGTACACCTCCAACATGCCCTCTGGTGTCTCTGATTCCAGAGCAGTGAATGGTTTTACAATCCCAGCATTGTTGATCAGCAGATTCAGTCCAGATCCCTTCAGTTGCTCAGTGACCTTGGCTACAGCTGCTTTGATGCTGGATGGCTTACAAGTGTCTATGGTGACAAATAGAAGACTTTAAATATTCTGTACGGTAGAAGAGGATTCTGCCAATGTCTGTCCTGATAGGACCCCAAGAAAAGTTACTTAGCTGTAGCATGCACTCTTTAGATCAACATCTCTGATTAATATCCCATCTTTAGTCCCACATTTCCAAGTGCTGGTTTTAACATGTATAGCATAAATTACATCAAGCCTCCCTGGGCTTGATGATCTTTCAGAGACACCGTTCTCTTGGTTCCACCACCCTCACAGACATGCTTGGTGTGAATACGGGAGAAGGCTCTTTCATTGACTGTTCCCAGGCTATGGAACTCCCTTTCAAGGGAGACTAGGATGACCTTCTGTTTTCCGACTACAGGCAAAGACATTCCTTTTTGGGCAGGCTTTTAATGTGTAAGGGCACAATCAGACGTGCCAAAAGAACCACCGTTAAATTGATTGTGCTGTTATATACATTTATTTATTTATTAAATTTATACTCCGCACCATCTGGCAGCCAGGCCACTCTGGGCAGCTAACAACAACAAGACAAACAACACAATATTAAAACACAATAAGAATAAAATAATACAAACATTCAACAGTTACAATAGCTAGTAGGATAAATTAAAACAGATGGCAGGAAGGATGATGAAAACATGGCAAAAGTGATGTACCCTCTTTTTAAAGTACTTATTGATCCATCAGCAGCAACAACACAAATACATTGCTCAGAAGGAGAGAGCCTCCCCTTGTGGGTGTAAGGAAATAAAGAGGAAATAGACTCTGAGCAGAGAAAGGGCTATTTCCTGCTTGGATTTGTTTGAGGGAAGAAATGGATGTCACATTAGCATCTCTCTCTCTCTCTAAAACCCTGCTCTTCCCAATACTTTGCAAGTCTTTTAAAACCCATTTCCTCTTCCCAACATTGTTCAAAGAGGATAAGAAAATAAAAGCTAAGAACGGAAATGGAGAGATATGCAAGAAAATAAGGAAAAGGGGATGAGTGAGTAAAGAAGGGAAAGGGGTTGGAGGAGAGAAGGAAAACTGGTAGTGGGAGAAAACAGAAACTGGGGAAAGGAATTGGGAAGTTAACATTTTAAAAGGAAAGAAGAGTTGTAGGGGACATATACCACCAAATTGTGTGACTAACAAAAGTGACAAGAAAATAGCGATATATCATTTGCGATTTTTTAAAGAATATTTTGAGGCAGTGGGGACCCAGAAACAAGATGGCAAATGAATCAACATGGCACATGTAGCGTACAGTACTGGTACAAATAACAAGAAATTTACTGATTGAACTGACAGCCATATGAATGGGCCAGCAGTATATATACCACGTGACTACATAAAAATGTAGTAATAATTTTAAAAGGAGCTGGGAAAGGAACTATTCAAATGGTTTGTGTGATCAGGCCCTAAGCTGTGCTGGGAAGAGATTTTCAGGCAGTGGTTCCCAACCTTGGGTCCCCAGATGTTCTTGGATGAAAACTCCAAGTCTTCACCACTAGTTCTGCTGGCCAAGAACTCTGGGTAGTCCAAGAACATCTGAGGACTCAAAGTTAAGAAGTACTGTGGCAAAGGAAATTATTGTTTCAAAACGCATGCTTTTAATCGGCTTTAACTATTTCCTCCTCTTCACAGATTGCTGCCTTGTCATGGCAAAGGGGCTTGAGTAATTCAGAGAAGCCATGGTCTATGCCATGCAGGGACACCCAAAACGGACAGGTCATAGTGGAGGGTTCTGACTAAAAGCGATCCACATGGAACAGGAACTAGCAAGCCACTCCAGTATCTTTGCCAAGAAAGCCCCATGAACAGAAACAAAAGGCTAAATGATATGATGCTGGAAAATCAGCCCCTCAGGCATCCAACATGCTACTGAGGAAGAGCAGAGGACAAGTACAAGTAGCTCCAGAGCTAATGAAGTGGTTGGGCCAAAGCCAAAAGGAGGCGCAGCTGCGGATGCGCCTGGAAGTGAAAGGAAAGTCTGATGCTGCAAAGACAAATACTGCATAGGAACGTGAAATGTAAGATCTATGAACCTTGGGAAGCTGGATATGGTCAAACAGGAGATGGCAAAAATAAACATTGACATCCTCGGTGTCAGTGAACTAAAATGGACAGGAATGGGCGAATTCATTTCGGACTATTATTATATCTATTATTGTGGGCAAGAATCCCGTAGAAGAAATGGAATAGCCCTCATAGTCAACAAAAGAGTGGGAAAAGCTGTACTGGGATATAATCTCAAAAATGATAGAATGATTTTAATGCGAATCCAACACAGACGATTGAACATCACAGTAATCCACGTTTATGCAACAACCACTAATGCTAAAGAGGCTAAAATTGACCAATTCTATGAAGACCTACAACACCTTCTAGAACTGACACCAAAGAAAGACGTTCTTCTCATTATAGGGGGTTGGAATGCTAAAGTAGGGAGTCAAGAGATAAAAGGAACAATTGGAAAGTTTGGCCTTGGAGTTCAAAACAAAGCTGGGCAAAGGCTAATAGAGTTTTTTCAAGAGAACAAGCACTCTTTTCCAACAACACAAGAGGTGATTTTACACACAGACATCATTAAATAGACAATACCAAACTCAGATTGATTATATTTGTCAGGTTTCTTAGCGAAAAAAATCACAATTTTGCAGAGTATTTGGTGGTTCAGGCAGTCCAGCAGCATTTCTTTCACACGCAGTCCAGCAGCATTTCTTTCAGCAACGTGTATTTACATCAAATATATACAGCAGTCTGGCAGCATAGCAGGAAGATGTGATCTTCAAGCAGGTGAAGATACAACTAACTTTACAGCTCTACATATATACATACACATGACCAATCAGGTTACACATTACCTCATTGCATTACATCATCCCATTACTTCATCTCTGGGTTGCATTAGCCCTGGGTTACATCATCTCTGCTGAGTCACCCTGACTCACTTTCAACACACCTGATAGTTATTGCTTCTTATTAAATCACTAAATTCCGGTCAGGCCTGCAATTTTCCTTGACAATATTCTTTGCAGCCAAAGATGGAGAAGCTCTCTACAGTCAGCAAAAACAAGCCCTGGAGCAGATTGTGGCTCTGATCATTAGCTTCTTATAGCAAAAGTCAGGCTTAAACTGAAGAAAGTAGGAAAAACCACTGAGATAGATACAATCTAAACCAAATCCCTTTTGAATATACAGTGGAAGTGAAGAACAGATTTAAGGAACTAAATTTGGTGGACAGAGTGCCCGAGACAGCTATAAAAACCATCCCAAAGAAAAGGAAATGTAAGAAAGCAAAGTGGCTGTCCAACGAGGCCTTACAAAGAGAAGGGAAGGGAAACAAAATGCAAGGGAGCTAGGGAAAGTTACAGAAAATTGAATGCTGACTCCCAAAGAATAGCAAGGAGAGAGAAGAGGACCTTCTTAAATGAACAGTGCAAAGAAATAGAGGAAAATAATAGAAAGGGAAAATTTGAGATGTTAAAGGAACATTTTGTGCAAAGATGAACATGATAAAGGGCAAAAATGGGAGAGACCTAACAGAAGCAGAAGACATCAAGAAGAGGTGGCAAGAATACACAGAGGAATTATACCAGAAAGATGTGGATAGTGTGGACAATCCCGGACAACCCAGATAGTGTGGTTGCTGACTTTGAGCCACACATCCAGGAGAGCGAAGTGGGCCTTAGAAAGCATGGTGTGACGATCGCCCTACATCACTCCTATCACTCATATTCAGGATCTCATTTGCATGAGCCTATCAGAGGAGTGGAGGGGCAGAGTCAGGGGATAGAAGAAGGTTTGGCAGGGAGAAATAGAGGTTGCAGAGAGAGAAAATAGAAGTTGCAGAGTAAGAGGAGATAGTCAGGGAGATAGTGAGAAAATATGCCTAGAAATAGGTGTTAAAATTGTGGTTTAGATTATTTTATATTGTTTATATTGTTCTGTTCTTATTCATGCAGACGTTGTCTAGAGGGGCGGGGTAATAAGTCTAATAAAAAATAAAAAATAAAAATAGAGATAAGCTGGTCAAAGTTAATAGATAGAGCAGGTGGTGATTGAGTACAGTACAAAGGACTGCTTTTGAATTGTGGTGCTGGAGGAGACTCTTGAGAGTCCCCTGGACTTCAAGGAAAACAAACCTATCCATTCTAAAGAAAATCAAGCCTGAGTGCTCACTGGAAGGAGAGATCCTGAAGCGGAGCTCCAATACCTTGACAAATCGTGTGTCAGTGGGACAGAGAAGCTCTACTTAGCTCCTAGAGTCTAAGGGCACAATCACATGTGAGAACAGAACCCCAGTTATATTGTTTCTTTTTTATCCCTCTGTTGTACAGATACATTCTTCTTCTTCTTTTATTAATTTTTATTCATTGTCCATTGGGTCAAGGAAGAGCATAGGGAAGGGGATTTGGAACAAGGTACTGGAGTAAATTGAGAGTCCCATGGACTGCAAGGAGAACAAACCTATCCATTCTAAAGGAAACCCTGAGTGCTCACTGGAAGGACAGATCCTGAAGCTGAGTCTTCAATACTTTGGCCATCTGATGAGAAGAGAAGACTCCTTGGAAAAGACTCTGATGTTGGGAAAGTGTGAAGGCAAGAGGAGAAAGGGGACGACAGAGGGTGAGATGGTTGGACAATGTCCTCGAAGCGACCAACATGAATCTGACACAACTCCGGGAGGCAGTGGAGGACAGGAGGGCCCGGAGTGCTCTGGTCCATGGGGTCACGAAGAGTCAGACATGACTAAACAACTAAACAACAACAATTGTTTCCTACTTTTTTAAAAATTAGCATGTATGTTTTGAACAAACCGAATCAATAATGAGTCTGAGGAGATTCCATGGCATACCAGCCCAAGAGGGACTGCGCATCTGTGGGTGATTAATCAAGTGATTAAACTGCAGAATTGCAGCCAAGACTCAGTTCACAACCTGAGTTTGATCCCAATGGATTCAGGTAACTCATCCTTCCATTGTTCCAAGGTCGATGAATTGAGTACCCAGCTTGTTGGGGGGGGGGCAACGTATAGCCTGCATAATTATATTATAAACCGCCCCGAAAGTGCTTTGAGCACTATGAGGTGGTATATAAGCAGCACATTTTTGCTTTTATTTTGTTCCCTTGTTAAAAAGAAGAAGGCATTGGAAAAATTGGACTTCTTGCTTCAAGGGACAAACCAACACGTGGTGCATGGAAAAATTTGGAGACCTTGTCTCTGTAAATAAACAGTGTGATGTGAAAACATAACAAGGTGACCGTAAACTGACAGAACCCATTAATACTATCTGCTAACAGTTTAATCTGCATTTAGTAATTTGTTTTACAAGGAAAGTAGTGCCTGTTTTAAAGATACTCAACATATATGTATGTTTAATATATACAGTACAAATTTTTCTATGTTAATTTTAACACATTTCTCTTTTTTTAAAAAGTGCTCCAACACAACTATCACCAGGCACTTAGGAGAACATTCATAATGTTTTGCTCATATTCTTTGCTGGAGCAGTCCCAATTTGGTCCTGGAAAAGAAAACAAGACCCAGAGCCTCTGAAATTGCCAATTTCTGGTATTAAAAGAAAGAATTAGGAGAAGAAGGTAGGAGGACAGGAACGTACCTAGAGGGATGATCTCAATGCCTTGATTCTTAGCAGCCAGATTCTTCAAGTCCTGAAACCCAAAACAGGGATGGCTACATCAAAGTACTGGGACTGAATTTTTAAGATGCCATAGGAAAAGACAGGGTGGGGTTAAATTGCACCCAGTTTCTCTTTTTACCCAGAAGTGCATTTATTACCTTACTGCAGCTCTGCTAGAGTCTTCAGAAGATCAGAAAATTAAAACATCCTCTCAGACAACTACATCTCTGCCCACCCACCCCTTTGCAAAATCTCCATGGCGCCCAGCAAAACTCCTTTCTATAGACACCCATCTACAGACACAGTCAGTTTCTCCCTGTAACTCACCTGAGCTTGTGGTCCTGCTGGATCCCGGCAAGTGGCAAAGATAAATTCAGGGCTCTTACTTTTCCCAGCGAGCTGCCTAATCAGCTCCAAGCCAATGCCACGATTGGATCCAGTCACCAGCACACTACGCACATTCAGTGCTGCCATCTCTCAGCCTGGGCTGAACTGACAAAACCAGTCAGCTTCCAGCTAAACTCTAACCCAGCTTTACATATTGCCAGCAAGTCATTCATTAATTTCTTAGCTCTTCCACCAATAGAGTCTCCGTTTGGAAAAATGCAAAACCTGAACTAGAACAGTTCAGAACAGCCTCTTTATCCCATCCCCTGCAAAATAAAAACAAAAATAAAGAAACCCTGCAAGAAAATTGGGGTCCTTATTTTAGAAATGTATTTTTTCCAGTACACTTTTAAAACTCAGTGTCTGGAACTCATTTGGAACAGAATAGAGTGAGTGGAAACTCATTGAGAAGAAGTGATTTTACCTCTTCTGGACAATACTTTTGTAGCTTTCAAGTTAGCCAAAATAATTGAATTCATCCATCAAACAAAATTGGAATGAAACTTTAAGAGTTTATCTGAATTGAATTCTGGCTCCTGTTCAAGGCAATAAATGATTTTCACAAGAAATGGCCTAGAGCACTAACCTCTAAGTGAGCTACACAAATAAGGTTCACTAGTCATACATGATTAGATTGGCATGAGGCAATATGTCAGAAAAAATCCACAACTGTGTTTGCCATTGAAATACATTCTATTCTATGGAAATGGATAGAATTGTAACAGACAATGTTACAAAACTACTTTTGTTTTACTAATTGCAGAACATAACCCATATTTCAAAGAATTTCTTAGACCAATGTCTGACTGAGCCAAGAAATAGCAGAGGAAATGACCCTCAGTCAGTTTAATATTATGACACATACAATAAAATTTCCAGAAAATGCACACTCCATTATCTCTTCCAGACACACCATATTGTAGAAAAGCACCGTATGTTAAAATCTGAATTAGCCAATGAATTCAAAGAGGATGGGGGGGGGATTGCTGCAATAACCTACAAAACTTCTAATGTTTTATGGGATATATAAACTCTTGTCCATAATTGGTATTGACCCTGTTTTTTCTTGGCATATTATTGCCTGGAGTACATGTTGAAGTAAAGCTGTTGCATGGCTTGTAGCATCACTTCCATCTAGTCACAAGTGGCTAGTGAATTTGGTCACTTTGGTTGGCTCAGAAACAGATGCCCTATGTTACTCGTTTACATTGTAGAGGGTTCCTGGGCTTTAAGCACTCAATAGAAGTATAATGCTGGGAGGGTTTCCCTTCCAAAAAAATGTTCTCTGACATCCTAATGCATTCACCTTCTTAAAAGATCAGTGTTGGTCTGACTGAGGCTAGTCTGTCTGATTCCATTCCTGCTTTTACTATGTCCTAGAGTGCCACTTGTTTGCTAAATAGTTGGCCTACAGGCACTCTGACAAGAGGCTGAATCAAAAAAAAACCACCTGTATTCCAGCTGGGGTGGGAATTTGGCACAAAGTGAGGGGAAATAAATATGTGTGTGAGAGAGAGAGGAGGGGAGGGGAAAGAGACAAGTGCTAAGTTTTGGATTTGTGCAGAGTGTTTTGTGTTCTCTGAAGGAGTTTCAGCCTCCAGTTTTCTGAAAAGATCTCTTTGTTATATACTTGCAAGCAATGGAAAGAGATCAGTGCAAAGCCCAAGCAGGGATGCATCAAGCTGATTGGTAGTCCTGCACAGCTGCCCTCTTGTACTGAGAGGGGCACCCTCTGCAAACTCTCCCTTCCCTGACTCTTAAGTGGGAGAGGGAGGAGATCTAAAATGAAGCAACCACCGAAGGTGCCTCTGGTTCATATTTTCAGGCAGGACTAAGTGCTAAAAATGACACTTTGCTACTTGATACAGCTCCTGTTCTGGATCGTTCACAATTAAATCTTCCAAAGATTTCTTGACAAATCGTGTGTCAGTGGGACAGAGAAGCTCTACTTAGCTCCTAGAGTCTAAGGGCACAATCACATGTGAGAATAGAACCCCAGTTATATTGATTCTTTTTTTATCCCTCTGTTGTACTGATACATTCTTCTTCTTCTTTTATTAATTTTTATTCATTGTCCATTGGGTCAAGGAAGAGCATAGGGAAGGGGATTTGGAACAAGGTACTGGAGTAAATTGAGAGTCCCATGGACTGCAAGGAGAACAAACCTATCCATTCTAAAGGAAACCCTGAGTGCTCACTGGAAGGACAGATCCTGAAGCTGAGTCTCCAATACTTTGGCCATCTGATGAGAAGAGAAGACTCCCTGGAAAAGACCCTGATGTTGGGAAAGTGTGAAGGCAAGAGGAGAAAGGGGACGACAGAGGGTGAGATGGTTGGACAATGTCCTCGAAGCGACCATCATGAATCTGACACAACTCCGGGAGACAGTGGAAGACAGGGGGGCCTGGCATGCTCTGGTCCATGGGGTCATGAAGAGTCGGACATGACTAAACGACTAAACAACAACAACTGTGGTAGAGAACAATATATATCATTATTACTATTACCTATGTGCTTTCTTACTAAGCTTACTTCACACTAATCTTGCCATTTTTTTCCTAAGGCTTTAAGATCTACAATTATATCTATGTCTTCTGTTCTCATCTCACATCCAAGTATACAAAGGTTCAAATTTTTTTCTAGCCTCAAGAATTTCATTGTCTTCTAATTCTTTCGTTAAAATATCCATCTCTGCTGCTTCAAAAAAAATTCTATTAACTCCTAGATTGTTGGTGTCTCCTCTTTTTTCCAGTATTTGGCATATAAAATTCTTGCTGCTGTAGTTACATGTATGATCAAATATCTTTTTCCTTTTTCTATTGAATCTGGTATTATATTCAACAAAAATAGTTCAGGTTCATATAGAATTGTACAAGATACAATTTTTTGTAAAATCTCATGGACTAGTTTCCAAAAGCTTTTAACATCCTTGCAAGTCCACCATATATGATAAAAACTACCTTCTTTTAATTTGTATTTCCAACATTTGTTAGAGGTACTCTGATATATTTCTGATAATTTTTCAGATGTCATATACCATCTGTAGAACATCTTATATATTTTTTCTTTATAATTATCTGCTTTTGTTAACTTAATATTGTTTTCCCATATTTGTGTACTCAGTTTTTCCTTTACATTCAGAAGTACCTTATCTAATGGTATCTGTTAGTTACAAAAGCCTATTGCTTTATCTCTTGTATACCTTGAATCTATTTGTGTTTTTGTCCACCAACCAAGTATTATAGTACCTTGTTCTTCTCATTATTTCCTTGATTTCATATTTAAGTCCCCTTTTAACAAATCTCTGTATCTCAAGAGTTTCTTCTTTTCCATTAATGTTCGTTGTGAGAATGCTTCCATTGGGGAGACCCATTCAGGAACTTTCTCGTAATTTTCTTCCCGGATCTTAGCCCATACCCAGTTCAAAGTTTTCCTTATCCAATGATTCTTAAATTGTTTATTGTCCTATGCTTTTTGATATACTGATACAGTCTTTTCAGTTATCATGTGTTATATATGTAGGTGGGAGCTTTTACAGTCGTGCCCTGCTGGACGATTACCCCACTCTACGACAAATCCGCTTTATGTTGACGATATTTTAAATGGTTTTTTTTTTCGCTGTGCAATGATCGGTTCCCTGCTCTGGGAACCGATTTTCACTTTACAACGATCAGCAAACAGCTGATCATCGGGTTTCAAAATGGCTACCGGCTGAAGAAAATGGCCCTCCGCTGTTTTCTAGGATTTATTCCTCGCTTTACAGGCAATGAAAATGGCCGACATATGGAGGATCTTCGCTGGACGAGAGGTATTCATCCCATTGGAATGCATTGAACGGTTTTCAATGCATTTCAATGGGTTTTTAAATTTCATTTGACGACATTTTCGCTCTACAGCGATTTCACTGAAACGAATTAATGTCGTCAAGCGAGGCACCACTGTACATTGTTTTGAACTGCATTGTTACTTCTTTTTCTTTGAACCGTTATAGCAAGCTACACTGCTCTTTAATTTTGTATCACTTTATTTTCTCTACTGTTTTTTTTAGGCAATCAGGCCCTTGTCCTTTTTAAATTGTTATTACAAAAGTGATAGAGCAATACAAACCTTCTCTTCTCTGTCCCTCCTTTACTCACTCATCCCCTTTTCCTTATTTCCCTGTGTAGCTATCCCTTCAAGTTCTTGGCTTTCATTTTTCTTTTCGCTTTTGCACAGCGCCAGGAGGAGGATGTGGGTTTTAAAATACTTGCAAAGTATTGTGAAGAGCTGGTTTTTTTAAAAAAGAGAGGGAGAAATTATTGCAAAACCCTTTTCTTTACAATTCAAAGTAGGAAATGTCCCTTTCTTGGTGCCTCTTTCACTTGCAAGGGAGAGGGGGGATGCTATCTTTTTCTGAGCAATGTATTCATGTTGTTTCTGTGGCAGTGGCGGCTGCTACTAGCAATTTGCTGATATCCCCTTTAAAAAAGTTTTAGAAGAGGGTACAAGCGCAGTGGCCATGAGGTGGCCACAGAGCCCAAAACCTTGATCCCTTCACAAAGAAAATAAATCAACAACAATGTTAACACACATTGAAACAATAAGGAATGAAGCAATACATGATGGGTACATTTTAAAACAGCAATTCCTGTCAAGTAGGAAATAAACTGCTTGCCAGGGCAAATGAATCGATGTTAGTCATGCGTCATGTGAATGGAAATTTTTGAAACAATCCAAATAACAATCAAACTGGTGCAACGGGTTCTTTTGGCAAGTGTGATTGAGCCTTATGATGGTTTTTACCTTTTTGCTTTAGACATAAAGATCTACAGTGAAGACATTTGAAAACACTCAGCACAGTTAGAAGGTGCTATAATTAGCTATTGTGGATATACAGACACATGAAAATCTGCCCTTGTGCAATGGAGGGGGGAGGCCTGAGGCTGCTTCTGATTTTGATACTATGCTTCCAACTTCCAGAATGGGTGCAGCAAGGGCAGGAAGAACAAGACAAATCAAAACACTAAACACTCTGCATTTCTTTGCTAGATGCATGGGAAGCATTCATTTTCCATCTAAGCAGAACTCTGTTCCTGAAGATTGCTCAGAAATGCCTGGGAAGCGTGATTCTCCTCTGCAAGAAGTGGTGTGCTTTCAACAT